ATTGAAATGTTCATTTTCAGGCTAAATTACTCTTCATTATCCAGATAGCAGCCATCTGTCTGCAGGAAATGTCAAGCAACTTTTCTAGGGTAAGCAGCTTTGCATCATTATGTGCAACAATAGAGTCACACTTGAGATTAACTGATGATGAATAATAAAACATGAAATATCAAGACTGTCCATCTTTTAACACATTATGAACAATACCACTTGATTGATATAGTTCGCAGTTCACTTTCATCTTACAAATTCCTAATAATGACTCAGTAAAATCTCTTTTTTGGCAGTGAACGCAGGGAAAGATAAGCTGATGATAGTTACAAGGAATGTTAAATCCAACTAAATCCCCAATTAAACAAAGAGAGACAGTGGTTTGATAATGTATCCTGTCACTGTATGGCATTTCATTTCCATGTAATAGGTTTTCAACAAAATTAGCGTATAATAGAGATTATTCTTCACAAGGCACACAGCTGTTGTTGTACAATGGCCTGATCCCAACTCTAATTGCGGATGCTGCACGATTGGATTCTGATGTTTAACCAGTTATGCTTGAATCTGAAAAAGCTGAGTTTTTGAAAATGAATAATAGCTGTTTTCACTGGTATCAATACAGAGTGGCGTGCACAGAAAGTGAAAGTAAAAGCAACTTATCTGGATTGCTTTGTACATAAGTACTACTTTTTGGGGTGTTCACTGTAAATTGACGCCTGGGCCTGCACCTTCCTGCCGATGGCCACAAATTATAGCGTGGTTAGAGAGAAGGTCACTGTGAGGAATGAAAACTCCTTTCTGGTGCTGAGGAAGTTTATTTTTGTCCTTGGAAACAGCAGTTGAGCAAGGTCCACTTGGTAGTTGTTGTGGAACTTTCGATCATATCAGATGATCTCTATGAGCAGATGGAGTTGTCCTGTTATCAGGGAATTGTAGATGTTCAAGTGCCCTTTAAGTGTGTGTTGGCTTAAAAGCTGAGGTTCAGGCAGACTGTCAGTGGGTTCAAGGTTCACTCTCAACCTTGAAAACAGCAGGGGAGAAAACAATCTCACCAAAACGTCCATTTAGTAGCTGCCCTCTTGTTTCCTCAACTGCTGTTTCCAAGGTTGAGAATGAACTTCCTCTGAATTTTCCAGAAATAAAGAAATATATTATATACACCGATCAACATTATGAGCACTGACAGGTGAAGTGAATAACACTGATTATCTGGTTATCATGGCACCTGTCAGTAGGCGGCAAGTGAACATTTTGTCCTCAAAGTTGATGTGTAGAAGCAGGTAAAATGGGCAGCCTGAGGATTTGAGTGACTTTGAAAAGGGACAAATTGTGATGGTTGGACGACTGGGTCAAGGCACCTCCAAAACTGCAGCTCTTGTGTTCCCGGTCTGCAGTGGTCAGCACCTATCAAATGTTGGGAGGAAAAGTGGTGAAGCGGAGACAGGGTCATGGCTCACTGATGTTAACGTGGGGAGTGAAGGCTGGCCTGTGTGGTCCAATCCAACAGACGAGCTACTGTAGCTCAAACTACTGAAAAAGTTAACACTGGTTCTGATAGAAAAGTGTCAGAACACACTGTGCATTGCAGTTTGTTGCGTATGGGGGCTGCATAACATTACGACCACCGGGGTACCCAGGTGGTAAAATTAGAAGATATAAGATATTAGTAGCCACAGTATATTGAAAGCATCATCCACCATGAAGACGTTCTTATTTTCTCTGATCTCTCTGAGCTATTTTCAGCTAAAGGCTGAATTGTTTATTCAACAAGTAAGCGCATTGTAAGTTTACATTACAAACATCTTCCATAACTTGCAGAAAAGAAACAATATCATGCAAGCAAACAAATGCTATTAATCTTTTTTTTAAGGGGGGTGGGGGTGTTTTACAATATATCCAAAAAGTAAATCAATTTTAACTTTACAATATACTAGAATTTTTAAGTTTCACATTTCAGAAATTAAGACGTTTTCTTATCCATTTCTCAGCCACAGAAGGCAACACATCCACAACAACTAACAACACTAACACTAATATAAAATGTAGCAAATGGCATGATAAAACAAGGATATTTTATAGAGCTTTTTTACTCTCTACTATTTGTGCAACACAGCAAATATAGAAATGATCTTGGACAAAAATCAAGCAGTCAACACATCAACAACAACATGCTGTGAAGGTACATTCAATACATAGTACTGTATGCCATAACATTTATTCAAAAGGCCATCATGGTCAGTAATGATCATGTCATAACATTGATTTTTGTGATGAAACAAAATCACAGTCTTTTATATTTAACACAGCACTACAAATGACAGCGTAGAGCACTTTGCACCGAATAAGCAATAATTAGCAGAGGATCTTGTGGCAAAAACATATAATAAAAATGTAAAAATGAACAAAAAAGGTTTACACAACACTGATGTGACAAAGCACTATGAAACCTCAATTTTATCAGTGCACCAATTATTTTTAATCACAGTCAATTTATATCTTTTGGATTATCTTTAATCACATACACACATTTTCCCTGTAGTTAAACAAAGTAATACAGGACATCAAAAGATATAACCAGTAGCTGTGATTGTGTGTTGAGCAAAGAGGTGGACAAAGTACACAAAACTACAAGTGAAGGTTGTTCCGTCAAATCGTTGTTGTTGTTCAGTCAGCTGCTCAGATAGGCAGTGTGAACCAAGTGTAAGAAGCGTATAGAATATGCTACAAAGCTCAACTGAACACAACTGAACTGACAAAAGGACAGCCACTGTTGTTTAATTTTGTTTTATTTAACACCGACCCCCAGCAAACAGTGTTTTGACGCAGCTCTGGCAGTGTGTGTGTGTGTGTGTGAGAGAGAAAGAGAGAGAGTGAGACGCAGAGAGCAGGTGAAAGGCTGCAGCATGATAATAAGTTTCACCAAAATGTTCAATATGCTCATCAATACTACAGCCTGAATTTAACTGTCAGGGTCTATTTAATACTGGGTTTCAGTACCCATCCTTACTCATAGTACTGTGTTTATTTGACAAGATTAAATAATATATTTCTGAAGGGACTAATTAAGAGGATTGACTTAACTCTTATTATTATTATTAGTAGTAGTATGTGTCAACAGTAGATTCACACAGGAATCTGTTGTGGAAATCCATAAAAAGTAATTTGACCAAACATAAATTGTAACTATTGCAAGCACAGACAACTAAATTTAAGATGTTTATCTGGAACTATACCATGGTCTGACTGGCTACTGGGTATCCATTAATACCTGATGTAGGTCACCTACTAAGTAGTACCAGTGAATCGTGTGTCTGTTCACCTTTCTAAATTAATGAAATGAATGAAAGCTAAATCTGTATATCTCATAAATATATCACAACACTGAGTGTAGTCCTTCAGTGGCTCATCCTTTGAACACTACAGGATGGCAACTGTAACACACAATCCCCTACACTGCCCCCCTGAACTTACTGATACTTAGTATAAGCCACATCCTTCCACATCCCGTCCACTCAGCTCATTAATTCAGGCTGCGGCCATCAGTACACTATGATATTGATTTGGAGATGACAATGACGTGGCTGGATAGCTAGCTGGTCTTGTGGTTAAACATACTGTAAAATTGTATTTACCCATTAACTGTAGGCAGTGTTACTGACTTTGAAACTTGCTAGCATAATGTTAGCTCTCTGTCATGTAGCTGAGTGAAAGCGCTCTATAAGCGGAGGGAACTAGAAACATCTCCCATTGCCTAGTCGTATCTATGGTTTGCCCTATTTCCTGGATGATTTTTCCAGGTATAGGAAGGATCATGTATTACCAGGGAAATAGAGTTATGGCTTATAAAAAACTTTAGATTTTGATTGAAGAATGCATAAAAATATAAAATGATGATCTTATTTTTTTTCTTTAGCAAGTATAAGCAAGACCACTTCGAGGTGTCTATGATCAGGACTTTGCAGCGCAGAGGACAGTTCTGGCCTCCACGTCGTCCATTAATTCCTGATCATGGACACCTTGTCGGGCATTATCCCTTACTTAAAAGATGAAGTGATGAAGAGTGTGTGTTTAAAATGAAATGAATCTTTTATCATTTAAAAAATCTTAAACATGGACTTCAGATATGGCTATGGTGAGGAATTGTCATTTTTATCTGCTGTAGCCAGCCTGTCAACGCTAAGTTCAAATTGAACTGTTCAAAAACGCAGCAGGCACTTTGAAGTTGACTGACAGCATGGGAGCAGTGTACTGTGATTGGTTTTTCTCCTATGATGAACACAGCATATAGACATTTTAGAAAAGAAAATTATTTAGCTGACTTCAAAGCTATGCTTCAAAGTAACAAGTAATAGGAACCTTCATAGAACTGTAGAGGAGTTAAGAGTGCAATATTTGTTTTTCAATGTAGTGGAGTAAAAGTAAAAGTTTCCAAAAAAAATAATACTCGCGAAAAGTTGAGTTACTTTCAGATACTTGAAAATTGTACTTAAGTACTGTACTTTAGTAAATATACTTTGTAACTGTCCACCCCTGGCTGAGTATGCGTGTCTGTGTGTGTGTCCCGAGTGAACTTTCAACCTATCAGTTTTTGTTTGAAACACACTGTTATGAAGGGTAGTGCTGGAACATATAGGTGCAAGACAATTTTGATTGCTGAACTGAAACTTTTTCACATGGGTCTTTAAGCTTTGTGAAATTCCAATCAGTAGCGTGTGAGACACTCAGCCTATCGTGGTGATTTTGTAAATGCTGCAAGAGAGCAATAACATGCTTCAATCTGCAGCATTTTGTCAAAATCAGATCTGTGGCATCTACAATATTATATGCGATAAAACTCAGGATGAACAAATTGGGGCTGAGCTGTAATACACCATCGCTTACATCAGTGGAACAAAAATGAACAGATTCATCTGACGAAAGAGCACTGCATTTTTGTGGAGCTTAAGCATTTCAAAGCAAAATCTTAGCTGTCATCTGCAGAGAAAGACTAAGCTCAGCACTGATTAAGAGAAAATATTCCTTTTATTGAAATTCTTTAAGCCATTACATCTTGCTCACTGGTAAGATTGGCCTTGAGCCACTTTTCGTGCTGTTGCTGTCATTTCCCTTCTCTATGTCTGTACTGTGGCCACCTGAGGCAATCCGCCTGTGAGACGACAGACGAGTCATGTGTACAAGGCAAGTGTTACTTTCTAATTCAGTCCGCGTGTTTGCGCCTCGGCAGCATCTCTTGAGACCCTGGTGAAGATGAATGGTAAACAGACCATAAGTGATGGGGTCTAGACAGGCATTGAAGAGGCCAAAGATAAACAGCATATGAGTCAGTGAATGAGAGACAGTCTCCTCCATTTTTTCCGGAAACAACCAATACCACAGGCCTAGTAGGTAGTACGGGGTCCAGCAGATGATGAATGAGGTCACGATAACGATGCTCATCTTAAGAGTCCTCATCCGAGCTTTAGGGATGTTGTTGTGGGAGCGGCGGAGGTGAACATCTTTTGACAGCACTAGAAGAGAAGAAAACACTGCTTTTGTCTCATGCAAATTTTTGGGTCTCAGAAAATTTATTTTGACTACAGATTTTGAGGAAAGCACAAGACTTACTGTTATTTCGTGCCATGCGGCTGGATATTTCAATAAGGATTCGTGTGTAACAGAAGATCATGATGACCAAAGGGAGGAGGAAGAGGCACACAAAGGTGAACATGTTGTAGAGGGTCTCCTGCCAGTGCTGGACAAAACTGCCATGGGTGGTGCACTGGGTGAAGTTCTCTGGCACTGTGATGGTCACATTGTGAAATATAAACATCTGCATGAAAGGACAAAAAGAGTTTTGCTTAGCGATAAGTCTCAATCAAAAAGACAGAATGGATGCTTTCCATTTAGCTAATTCTTCATTTCTGCACCATCATCAAGGAGGTACCAATTCCTTAAAGGTCCAGTGTGTAACACTTAGGAGGATTAATTGGCATAATATTCATAAATATGTTTTCATTAGTGTATAATCACCTGAATATGGAAATTGTATTTCCTTTACCATATAATGAGCTGTTTCTATGTACAGACAAACTAAATACTGCCTGTAGATACTCTCTTGTTTATTTCGTGTGTTTCGCAGCCACCATAGTTCCTCCTACACACTTCACAGCCTCATTCTCATTCCCAGGTTGTCAAATACAGCCGCGAGCAGTGTTCAGTTAGTTGCACTCTGCAACTTCACCAGTAGATGCCACTAAATTCTACACATTGGTGCTTTAAATTTATCTTAGATGAGATGAGGAGAGAGGAAGCTTAATAGAACCACATATGTGTCCTATGGATGTCTTTTTACAGCCAGATTTTTTTCTTTATCTCGCTACATTATAGGGCAGTGAAGATGCTGTGCACCTTAGGAATTGCCAACTCCCCAAAATGACACAGGAGTGAGCAAATAAAGTGGTAAATAAACATCCTCCATCATTGCATCTTCTTCTCCATGGGGAATGGAAGATATCAGAAAGAGATGTCAGTGAGGGAGGTGAAGAACGATTGCCATTGATTTGAGTATGTGTGCACGTGGGCGAATGAGAAAACATTGTAGTTCTATAAGTTCTATAGTAATGCAGCCCATTTACCATGTTGTAATTTAGCCAATAGCTGTATCGCAAGTGAGAACAAAATAAGAAAAAGTTCAATCATAAATGTCAGAAGACCAATAGAGTCTCAGTTGCTCAAGATGCTGGACATAGTTTGACAATAAATTGGATTAGGACTTGTGTTATTAACTGACAAAATATCAAAATAAAATAAGAATAAGAATTAGGATATTATAACGTTATATAGCTATATATATATATCTATTGAATGTGTTTGAATCAAACTGTAGCACGGGGTAAAATGTGCAGAACATTTAAAAGCATTTATAAAATAGCATATTCAGCTGATATCACACTAATGTCTAATGTCCATATGACCTTGTAATTTTGAAATGAGATCTGGTATGTCTAACAGACTGACGTGGATGTAATGTCAAATAAAAGGACACTTGAGGACACACACTGGAAAGAAAGCCTTTGGCTGTGTGCATTTAAGAAAAAACAATATTTATCTTGCAAGATAGAAAACCCCAGAAGAAACCTGGGCTCCTGAAACATTTCACTCACTGTGGGTTATGTGCACTTTTGATCATCAAGCCAGTAATTGCAATTCTTGCAGAAATATGAAGTAAGCCCCAAAGGAAAAAAACCCAGTCCTGGGTTGTCTCTAATGCACTTAAATTAATGTGATGCCTAATTTTGTTGTAAGAAAAAGTTGTTAAAAACAGCAGCAGCAACTCTGTGTTCAGTCAACAATGTCAAAGGTCTCCCATGACAATGTCTTCATTACATAAATGGGAAACTTAAATTTAAGCTGTGCCTGCAAGAAACTGCAACATTATGACTTCAAAGCAAAATATGGCATGCTATATATACAAACTGTTTTATGAAAGCACGTTCTACAACTTGTGTGTTTCATTAAGAGATACAATATCATTCAATCTGAGGGCTCCACAGTGGTGCAAATCCTCAAGCGAGAGTCAAACCTCAAGGATAAAACACGAGTTGAATTTTGAGAGTATTGCAAGCTGCCTCTGATCAGAGAAAATAGAAATAGCAGCAGTGTTGCTCCTGGCTATTTCCTTTTATCAATAAATTTGGTGCCATTTGCTTGAGGACCTCAGATATGAAGATAAATAGCTACATATACATACAGGCTGACCTGTAAAACAGTTGAGCCATTAGAAATGAGTCAGCCCAGGTAAGCATGAATAAGTCTGCTTTATGAGCCCGTTTTCCCTCCAACATATCAGTATAGCTTATATGGGTTTTGTGTGGAGATTCAAAGGCTAAGGTCTGTCAGTTAGTCAGGGTCAAAATAAAATACATGTACCTGTTAATAGCAATCAAATGTGATTTTGATGTCACAGAAATATTTTTGTCTAAGGTAATTATTTTGAAAGCTTTAAACAGCCTGCTGATTGAGGTTATTTCACCTCTTAAGCTCTGCTGTCACTCACTGACAATCTGTACAAAATCCTGGTGTTTAGGCAGGTTTATATTACATTCTAGTAGAGAACCTAGAGTTCCCAAATATGTCATGCTGATGTACTGTAACAGGTTACAGAATCAGCAAAAACCTCAGCTTGACATTAACAAGCATTTCTTAATGTATTTGGGGCACCCAAAAGGGGAGGCTGGTGTACTGTACAAAAATAAACACCTGTCATTAACTGCACTTGTCCTTTCAGTATATCTGCACGACATTATAGAGTGTTATAAAACATTTATCAAATGTGTATATAGTGCCTATAAATGCTAAATACAGGGGGTTAAAGTTTGTTTGTTTTAACTTATACTGTACCAGATACAAGCACACATCATACAGTACACTATGTATACATAGTTTTGCACCTTTAAATACTGTGTATAGACTTAATGCACTATATCTATTTAAGCTGATCAACATACAATACATTTTCCACTTTTTAATGTAATAAAAATAGTACAGTTTAGTAAAGGTGGTGCAGAAAGTGGTCAAATCAAAAACTTTACTAAATCCTGTAAGTCACAATCACAGCTAGACAGATATTAACATTAAAGGATCAGTGTGTAGGATTTAGTTGCATCTAGCGGTGTAGCTGCAAATTACAAATTATTCGCCAAACACTCCAGTTCCAAGTATGCAGGAGAAACTACAGTGGCCGCGAAACTATGTTCTTGGATACATGGCGGTTCAACATGGCAGCCTCTGTAGAAGAGGACCCACTCCCTCTTTAGTCAAATGATGTTTATGTTGCTTCAGTTTGTATCTGCTATAGTAGATCTCACATACTACAGCAGGATCAGATGGGATGAGTCCAGCACAGAATTTATTTTGGTGAATAAACAGAATCTTCATCCCAATTAAGAAATTTAGAGCGAGTTATCATTCTGCTTACAGCCTTAAAAGGGATTCATTATGGGAGCAATTTAGCAGTGCATTGCCTGCAGTGATTTCTCCAGAGTGGCAATCAATGAATGACAGACATAGATATGTAAATACTGTAAGAATATGACTGGATAGAAACCAGTTACACCCACCATATCCTAGACCTAAAATATGAAAGGATTAATAATTTGGCATCATTGGGTGCACTTCTAGTATATTCCACAGTATATTCCAAGAATACTGGATAAAATATACTAAAATATGAATGTGAAGAATTTAAGAGTTTAACACAAAGACTGACAGCATCTGGATGATGAGGAGTCAAAGCTAATCGTCAGCAGCTGTCATCCAGTAATCCAGAGCAACTGGAAGAGGGCTTCATGTTTAAGCATTAAAAATAGAAATTACATTTCTCAGTGTTTCCAAACACTATCTCTATATAGCATATACTGACACTATCATATTTGTTATTACTCTGCAGTTGAAAATTCATGCAAAGCAACTAGGCATAAATGTCTGTTGTGCAAAACAATGAGCCCATTTGTTTTGTCCTAGTAGTGAAACAAATCCTAGAATCACTCCAAAGGGTTCAAATAAGTTGTCGTATATTAAATCGACACAAGACACTAAGAAGCATGACATGAATATAAAACACTAATATGCTCTGGTTGTAGAACGCAGGCAATGGCTGAGTGCTGTACATCAGCAAAAGAGTGCCAAATAATATGTTATAGCCAAATCTGTTATTGCAGTTGTGATTGACTGCTGAGCCATATATTGATGATGCAAAATGGGAAGTGGGAAATGTTGATGTAGATTCTTTCAAAACCATTTGTCCATGAAAGTAGTACATTTCTTTTCTTCTCCAGCTGGAATAGACAGCTAAGCAGTTACTCAGAGACTGTCCACTTAATACTCTGTCCTCACCCATCTGTCCGTAGCGTGGAACCCTGTCTGAGGATCCACCATGGTATAGTTTCATTAAGAAACTTAAAAATGTAAATGAGTAACAGTAGGAGCAAGCCTCAAGGGTTACACACTTAGAACTTCTCATTATTCAGGAGTTCACCATTAAAAACCTCCTGGGAGGTTCCTACTGAAAGGGATTCTTTATGTTAAATTTTATAATATGTTAATAAGGTCACATCTACTATAGTATACTACTATATATATATATATATATATATATATATCTGTTTCAAATGTTAATGTGAATGAATATATTAATAAGTAATATATCATTGTTTGTATTTCTCTTCTGTTTCAACTGTACTATTGAAAACCATTAATCAGTCAATCAAACCAACAAATCTGAAGGTTCATATTTATATTTATACTCGATTAATTATCTTATTTAGCATCTATTTCATATATCATCCTGAGATATATTTTTTTTCCTATATATGATATATAACTTATATATTTATCTCATAGAGGCCACAAATGTTTGGATTGAGTTTTGGTTAACATAAGCAGAGCTCAAGTTAAAAAGGCTCATTGTTTTGTTTTGTTTTTATCTGTTTTATTAACCTTCTAAATTGTAATTTCTGTGTGCCATAATGTTATTATACAATATATTATTGATGATTGATTGACAGTTTCAGTTTTTCATTTAGCTACAATTTAAAGTTTATTTCATAGAATAATTTCATTCAGATAATGCTGAGTATGTTTTATCATTATATGGTCCCATGATTATTGTTTCTATCATTACGTATTATACTTTATTACAAGATATTTTTTGAACTGAGATTACAAAACGCTTTACAAAAATGGTAAAAGCACTACCACTCAAAGGTACAAAACAAAACATACTGTACAGGTATACAGCACATCTAAAAAAAAGAAAATACTTTTACATAT